GTATACAGCTACGCTTCGCGAGTACCCCACCACACACACCACGAAGCATGTAACGCAATCAAGTATTTAAACTTTGGTTGTCATTAGATTGTTTTTTCACCATACTAAAAACTAGGGATGTAAGTTTCGAATATTTTTTTTTCGAATTGAATTTCGAATCAGAATGTTCCGGTTCAAATATTTTCGAATATGATTCTATTTAGTATAACATCATATTAAGTTCTAACAGTTCTTAAATTTGTAACGACTACGTGATAAATTGTGATTGAAAAATATTAAATAATTAAAGAATGAATAAGTTAGTAGAAGGGACGTCAAATTCCCAATATTTTAGAGCTAATTTTATATTTGCAACGTAGGGCTATACTCAGTTACATATTCATTTTAAATTACTCGAATTTTTGTTCGCAAACAGTATCTTTCGTCTAGTGATCCTTCTCAATTGAAATTGACTTTCAAAGTATCGTTTGCGCTATCATCTTAAATAGAGCAATGATTACGAGGGAAGCATCGCTTACCTACACTATTTTTAATAATGGTTTTAATTTTGTTATAATCAGCACACGCCAATCTGCACCAACATTTCAAACATTCTGCGTGCTTGTTCAATCATTTTCATAACATACCGTTTACTCCCCCTCGCCTAATCACTGCAACGGCTACGCTTGTTTTATAATGACGTATGAGGTATAGCAACTATATGCGCCGTATTAATCTATACATTAGTCTGCGTTTTTTCAATTGTTCTGTCTTTAACGTTGCGACAACATTCTCCGAACTGACAACAGTCCACGTGAGGGATAAAAATATCCTGGAAATAACCTGATGTGACGTCATTCTTGATTACTGGAGTTTTTTTTATTCGACGTCATTTTTTCCCTTCTCGTTCTCCGTTTTAGGTAAATCTCGGGTGTGTTCCCTCTCGATGTCTCGGAGATGTGCGTAGGAAATGCTTGAACTTGCGGCGTGGTGAGTGTTGTTTTCAAGACATATTAACGTTTGTAAAATCGACTTATTTATCTGAAAACCCGTGAAAACTGAATTTTGTTGAATTAAAAATTGATTTTATTTGCTGAGAAAGTAAACTTAGGCCTTAGATATTGTTACCTGTGTTTATTCGATTATTTCAAATTACTGAATTAACCTACAACTAACAACACTCTGGCACTGCAACATCGATTCTGCGTTGTCACTAACAGATTTAACTTACCGCAGCCCATGACTTATATTTTTACAATGTCAGAATGTCCAGATTTAAGAATTGGGTTAGGACTGTAGGAAAGGCCTGCGTCAGTACCAGGCGCAATATACAAAAAAGACAAAAAATACTCTGGCATTTTAGCTCTTTTCTAATGAATTTTTGAATAGCATTTTATATGATACTGTGATAGAATTTGCATATTCATCCTAGGGGAGAGAAAAGCCGATAGGCTTGCTTAATTCAGTAATTGTCAAATTGTATGATGACACCCAGACAACAGCCTCTCGTTCTGTTACCAGAGTTTGGGTATGGAATTCTTGAATTAGTTAGCCAGTAATTGAGTTATTTCAGTATTTGTTTCTGATGCACAGGCTTGACTGCTTGATGGTGGAGGAAGACGTAACCAATCAGCAGTTATGTGAACCATCCTGCGTCGGCGAAGAGTCCATCAATTCTCTCGCACATACAGACGACATAATTCAGTAATTAACCCCCACAGGATTCAAACCTGTGATCCCACGCAGAGTAATCAGAGGTGAGGTGGCAAGCATCTTTTTAATGCTTCAGCACTTAGCTTAGCATGATGTGCCACACTGCTCAGCCTAAATACAGAAATACATGAAGTAGCAACAGAGCAAAACATCAACGAGAATATCGGTCAGAGACCGAAGACCTATCGATCGAAAGTTAGGGGATCCCCCAAAACGACACTCTTATTCCATAGTGACACCTTGTGTCCCATCACTAATTAATTGATAACTCGCTAATTATACGACATAATTTGCCTAAAATCAATAGGCTTCTGGTACGAAATATGATGAATGCACATGCAAAATCTGCAGCAGATCCAATCTCGCTTTCGTGAGATATCGCTTGCATCTAACAGACAAACAAACAGACAAATACCCATCAACATACTTACCGATTAAAATCGATAAGTAATAAGTATAATTAAATTTTGAGAATGGAATTCAGCCGCACGTGGGATCGTGTATAGTTTCAATAAACTAAAAAATAACAAATTAGTGTGAATGAAGCCATTCTGCCATCAGAGTTTTGAGACAGGGCACAATATGCCAAGCTATTACTAAATCAATTGTCCAGGGCATACTTTCGAAGTATATATTACTGTATCATGACCTATTTTGTCTCGAATTTGGCTATGGTTGTATGTAAACCACCACGAGTCGTGATAAATAAAAGCATCGTGGTTCAGTAATAGACCAATGGAAAAATGATTGACTGAAGCATTATGAAAAATGTTCTCTGTTGCTTTGAGTCAGATATTGAGTCACATTCAGAATAATCATGTTTGAAAATATTTCTATTTCTTGCTGTCGCAACTCATTTGCTGTTCTTTACAGTGCTCATTTTGCAGTACGGCAAATTCCGAGAATTTTCTCTATTTGGCTCAAAAAACAAATACTCTATGTGTCTCACAAACGAGGGGCGTCTGGGACGACATCAGAAGCTTCATATCGCGCCATGCTTGTCTCAATAATAATCTAAATTAATCGCGGCCGTCACATGACCAAAATTGCCGTTTTTTGCTAAAAACTCTCGAATGCTACGGTAAAATTTTTTCTCCTTCGGTAAATCGGATTATTTATTCCCAAGGAATTCAATGATGACATTAATTATACTGTATTATTACCGATATTGAGGAACAACAAAGTCCAGACATCTCTCAAAAGAGGGTTGTCTGATCATCTGTAAAATGGGATTCTCTGAAACGGGACAATGTCACCCGATTTGTATAGTGTGCCGTACTGTTTTGGACAAAATATGAAATCTTTTGTTATCAATGAAGAATTGGGTCCACTGTATTTTGTATGATTTGAGTCTAGCCTACAGGTATATAAAAACCAAACAATAGGGACAATAGGCATTGTCTGTTCAGACAATTCTTCTATATTTTTCACTCTCGATTTCTATTGGTGGAGGAGGGAAAAGATACTAAACTACACCAGACCAAAAGAGGAAAGTTATCTAACAGTTTGCTTTTTTGTTTGCATAAGTTCCTAATAGTAAGGTAAGTACCCTTGTAGCATTAGTGCCTAACTTTCAGTTTCAACCAAAATGCATTGTACACATCAACTCCAAAACTTGAATCACCTATTTCCATATTTGATGCAGTATTAAATCATTTTTGGTGCTCATATTTTTATATGAAATTATTATTTTTATCTGCGTAAATTCGGCAACCCCTTACACAGATGATATTATGATGACTATTCACTGTAGTAGTATTAAGTTTTCATGTGTAGCTCTTGCTGTTCTTATTTACTTCAAAAAAAATTCACTCTATTTTGATTGTTCATGGTTTAATGCTGTCTTACAGCTGAGTTTGAGAACAATGATTGATAGGAAATTTTATGTATGAATGTTTTGCTAGTTGAAATTGTTCATTGTAATTCATTTTGATTCCATTTTTCAAATTGAAAGTGAAAAGTAACTACGGTAATTCATGAATTATAGGGAAGTCTACTAATATTGTTTTTGCACTTTTCAAAGCATGATTGTTTCATTCATCATCAAGTTTGTATTAGCTTCTAGTAGCAAAATATATATATTTTTTTAAATTAGAAGGTTTATTTCTCCAATTTGATTTAGATAAATTAATCAATAATCCAAATTATGCCATATCAAGTCAAAATATGTATCTGTTCTTATAATAAAACCTGCAATTTTTCAATGAAACCAGCTGTGTCCATATTATACCACAAAAGTATAATAGGATTCATTTTTTACTGAAACTTTTTGTGAGACAACAATATAGGTTTGATACAATGATCATAATTTGATCATAAATTACCCTAAATTGCTAAAATTGTCCGATTCGTCGCGAAAATCTGTATTTTTTTCGGTGTGGTACCGAAACAAGCAGGGGAATACCGTTTTCCCCATTCCAAGATGTCTGATAAAATTGAGTCAATACAACTTGTAGTGTGTCCCCTGGAAAGTCCCAGTTGCCAAATTTAAACCTCTTACATAATAGCCTTTGGGTTTTGTCTGGGCTTGAAGTAATTACTCATTGGTATTCTTGTAATGTTGTGAGGATAAAGGGCTATGCATCAGTAACATTATGCAGCATTTGAAAATAATTTTTTAGTGGTAGGGTGGGTATAAATGATTCTTATATCAATTAGCTTTATATTAGCATATAAGTTGGTTGTGCATGAAATTGTTATATTGATATGCTTATAATATAATATTATTTAATACTGAATATTTCATCATAATCATTTCAAATTAGTTTTTTTGGAATTAGATTCAAACTATAGTTTATGATCAGGGTGATATTTGAGTGTTTGACATTTTATTATTAATCCAATATAAAATTATGAAAATAGTTGGAAAGATAGATTCTTGTGAGACTTGATTATAGTAAGCATGATCAGATTTTTTAATTCATGGCCAAAGATTCAACATGAAGTATCGAGTAATTTGGTATGCAAAATAAGGTTTTTCGATTCTGATAGAAAAGAATCAATAAAGTTTGAGCATATCCGAGTAAAAGATTTTACCTTAGTTTGGTTTAAAAAAATGAAATTATTTTTAGTCTCAAATGTTGAAATTTTTTTTTCAATAATATACAATTGACATATACAAGTTCATGCAACATGAAACCAACTACTTTCCTTTCTATATGTGTTTTTAAGCATTAGTTAATCTATGTGAACTACAGTGATACTTTAGTAATAATCTGAATTAAAATTTTGAAGTATTGAAATTTTGAGTTTTTGTAAGCTATTTATTTTGACAATCTTCATCATGAATATTCATATTTTACAGATTTCTATGCAATTAAAATAAGATACCAATGTGTTAAGTAATAAAAAAAATACTGAAAAAAGTTATACCGTATATAGAAATATATATTTTTCAACGAAGAAATTATTTATAGTACGATATTATAACGTACTTTAAATATGAATACTCAATACACAAATATGGTGATGTCTCATCGACCACAAATCGTGATCACAGAGCAACCTAAACAACGAGGAATGAGGTTTAGGTATGAGTGTGAAGGAAGATCAGCAGGTAGTATACCTGGAGTCAACACAAATTCAGACAGAAAAACATGGCCAACAATTCAGGTATGGTTTGACGTGAAGTGACGGTTAATTTTTTCTTCCACTCATATGCATTTGTATACACGGTTGGCCAAAATATGTCATTTAGACAATTGACTATTTATCAGAATGTAAAAAATAGTAACATTTTTATGGCCCACCCTGTATATTGGAAAGACTGAACTTTTTTTTCCAACCTGCCAAAACTCAATATCTAATTCTCACTCCATTTTCATATTGCCGCATTAGAACCAAAAATTTTCCTATGCCACATTTTAGGCTCCTGAGAAAATCTCTTTTTTGTACTAGCTGGTTCTTACAGCCAAAGCCCGAAATAGATAACGCGCTATGTAAAATCGAAACTGAAACAGGTACACCATTGGAACCCTCCATGATAACTAAAAATGAGAAAAGTTCATTTTAGAAAAATGTGACATAGGCTACTTTGGTATTACTTTGACGATATATAATAACCATTTTCTGGTTTTGTAAAATTCTCCTCAACTTTCAGGTAATAAACTACACAGGAGAAGTTGTGATCAGGGTTTCATTAGTATCAAAAGATACACCGCCACGACCTCATCCACACAGTTTGGTTGGAAAGGATTGCTCAAATGGGATTTGTCAAGTTCGTGTTAATCCAGAAACTCAAATGACTGCTTGGTGAGTAAATTTAATATGCATTTTATTCATTGCTAGACATAATTTTAAGATTTTTTTGACCCAAATATGGACTAAATAGAATTGATTGAAACTAAAAAAAAAATTTTGCCGTTAGGTTATGAAATGGGTTTACTGAATATATAATTAAACATTCACAAGTATTCAGTATTTTCTTCAACATGCCGCTACACAACACAACTGTGTCACAGAATTCAAAATTTTTATAAAATAGTGTTGTCAAATATGTATAATATGCTTGTTTAACCCATAACCTATCCAAAATTTTGTGAGCTCAATTCAATGTACATTGTATGTATTCAGCTCTGCTATTGGATATGATGACCAATATGAACTATAACTATGCTTATATCGCTATATGTTCACTAAAGTTACTAAATACTTCATATCATTTCTAGTTTTTCAAATCTCGGGATACAATGTGTTAAACGTAAAGAAGTATCAGGGGCATTACAAGAACGACAAAAACTTGGTGTAGACCCATTCAACACATTCAAAGACAGCGACCCACAAGCAGTAGACATTGATTTAAACATTGTTCGACTGTGTTTTGAAGCATTCATCAGTCAAGGAAATCAGCATTTAGTATTAGATCCTGTATTGTCAAAACCCATTTTTGATAAAAGTGAGTCAGATTTGTTCCTGTTAAACATTCTTGGAAATCAGTACTGTATTCGAGCTAGTTGGATGCTCTATTTCACATTTTCAAAATGCTTAAATTATTAAATTTTTTTTAATCCGCTTTACTAGTTTTATTGGTTTCATACCTAATGTATGGTAATACCAAAAAAGTTGTTTATCATATAAATTGACGTTCTTGAGGTGTAATTTAGCCACATGATCTACTGTTATTCATATAGTAACGAAAAATTTAGTGGTTCTTAAAATTCTGATGTGAGATTTTGACAATGAAAAATAATGGATACTGTTATACACTGTTCAGTTGGTTCTAACGATATCACATAGGCTACCATCTCTATGGCAATATGAACAAACATACCCCTGTTTTGTATTATTTTTCTATCATAGCCATAAGCATACAATTAAAATTATACAATAATATTTTTGTTTAGAATATTTCCCAAAACAACCATTTATCATTTTATTAAAACCGCTATAATTTGCAATTCAGCTACTCCATTGTTAAAATTTTTTACTCATTGTCGAAAATAATATATTTACAAGTCTGACCCCAACTCACTTTGTTTCCATTTTTTTCTTGAATAGAAGCAACTTGCTCAGCGTTGCTGAGAATCTGCAGAGTAGACAAAAGTTTCGGAAGTTGTAAAGGCGGAGATGAAGTTTATTTGTTGTGCGATAAAGTTCAAAAAGGTATGTTTTCCTTTTTTTAGATCTATTATGATGTCATTTGTAATCGTAACTGAAAAAAAAAAGATAACATAATATATAGGCTATGTATATATTGGTAAATACTAAATATAAAGGATTGTTGAATAGGAAATACGATAAAAATAAAATCCATCAAATCTATTTATCTACCGATCTTGAGATTTAAAAATGTTTAACTAGGTTCTTTGTTTATTCTTGTGTTATTTTGATATGCGGGAAATGTTATAGCTATTTGAAAGCATTTTATTTTTAAATTTTCAAAATTATGACTCAACACAAAATAACAAATAAGACCTACAAATACAATAATTGATCAGCATTATTATATTCAAGACTGCACACACTGAAATTATTGTTACCTGCTCTAAAAATGTTTTAACAGTGTTCTTTGTTTATTCTTGTGTTAGTATGTTATGCGGTAAATGTTATAGCGATTTGAAAGCATTTGTTCAATTTCTAGAAATTTTCAAAATCATGACTCAACACAAAATAAAAATTAAGACCTACAATCCTTGATCAGCATTATATATTAAAAACTACACACACTGAAATTATTGTTACCTGCTCTAAAAATGTTTCAACACTGTTTTTTGTTGGGTTATTTTGCTATTTTCGCGAATGTTATAGCTATTTGAAAGCATTTATTTGTTCAAATTCTAGAGATTTTTGGAATCGTGACTCAACTCAAAATAGCAAATTTACACCTGCAATCCTTAATCGGCATTATATTCGAAACTGCGCACACTGAAATTATTGTTACCTGCTCAGAAAAAAGACTGAACAGAGAATTTTCACCTTTTTTTATAGAAATATAGGATATTGTTTAAATAGGGATTACACTGAAAAAGTTTTTGGAAGAAAAAACTGATAATGTTCTCTAATATTAAATCCAATTGTAATATTCATGTTTTTGTTGGAATTTTAAACCAATATGATTAATTTACATTTTCCAGATGATATTTCTATTTGTTTCTTTGAAGTCGAGACAGGCTGGGAATCGTACGGTGAATTCAGTCCTACAGACGTCCACCGGCAGGTAAATTATTAACTTACCTAACCATGTTCAAATTAATTATAAGCGAACACTTAAAAGTTTACTCTATTAATAATGGCTGATGCTCGATATTATATTAATTTATTTAACATTCAATTAAAAGAACCTTGTAACTGTCACGTTTTTTTTTAAAAAATTATTGATTATTTTTTCCAACAAAATTGCCCTTTATTAATGAGATTGTCAACGCGATCACGACTTAGTCGCTTGTTAGTTACAAATCAGTCTATTGTACTCATGTTTTGATATTGGGGAATTTCACTTGACAAATTATTTTTCATTCATATGCTTATAATAAAATTGTGTTTTTTCCCTAGTATTGTCTAATTTTTTCCTATTTGTTTCTCGTCATATTTGCAATAAAAGTAGGAATTTAATGCTCTCTTTCCTTTCAGATATATTTAGTTACCGTATGGGCCTGTAATAAATTTACCAAAACACAATTTAGTGTCTTGAATATTTTAATTTCAATTTTGCTGTTTTTTCTCAATTTATTAAGTAATTGAGATGTATAGTATTAAATAATTGCAAACTACATATTAAACGGTTTATGTTCAAATATCTGTTTTTGTAAAAAAGCGGATAGTTGAATTTATTGAGTATTGTTTGATGCTCGTAACATATTCTAAATGCAACAAGGGTTCTGGGAATAAAAATAGGTGAATTATTGAATTAGTTGTATCCAAAATCACTGCCAAGATCATTGTTTCTTCTGTTTTTAATTAATTAAGTCTTATTAGTCTGGCGCTACTTTATTACTTAAATTAGTGAACAAATGATGTTTTATTCAATATAACATGAAGTATAGAATGCAGTATATATAATATATTTATGAATATCTGTATATACATTTCTAAATATGTATAATTACTTGAAACAGGTTGCAATCGTTTTTCGTACTCCGCCATATAAGAATCAGCAAATTCGCGAAGCAACAAAGGTGTTTTTTCAACTCAAACGTTCGTCAGATGGTGAAACAAGTGATTCAAAAGATTTCACATATTTACCGTTACAGCATGGTAAGTGTTTTATTACTTCAAGCCAAGTTAAACAGATTTTGGAAACGTTTTCTACTAGATTTTGTTAAAAACAGATATTAAAATCATATTATTTGGCGTTTGTAAGTTAACAAGTTCAGCTGAGGTTTAGTTAAGACGTTCATCTATGCAATGTGTTTCAAACAGGTCTTCTGCAAACATTTGCTGGGCCTGGTAAACACCCGTGTTTTTAAAATTAGGTTGTTTTTCAGTCTGACTCATACATTGACGTCTGCCGTGTGACGTTACGCTTTGCCGCATTCTTTTGTCTGAGTTCCACAATACAAAACTTCCAAAACGTTGGTTATGCCTGAATGACAATTGTATTAAAATGAGTTGTATTTTATGTTTTCAACTGCCGGTGGTAGAGGGCGTCGTCTTTTCGGTTGAAGACGGCAACTGATGCGACGTCATCTATTGATGGTTCTCTAAATTTCCCCAGATCAATCTAACCCAGTTTCGAGATACCAAATTTTTTTATGAAGTAATCAGTTTTGCGTCAAATATTCCGTAGACTCGTGTGAGATATGTAAGCCTATTTCTGAATTATGTATGATCAACCATAAAACATTTACTTACAAAACCCTCATTAAAGATGAATTCTTTATTAATAAACATGATCAAAAACAAACAATTGCGGGTAGGCTGTAAACCACAAGCACTATAATGGTGTCAAACGGGTTTTCCAGAGGACCAAAAATTTTTACAAGACGTCACACTTTTTCTAAATAGAAACTACGGTATACCTTGCGGCCAATTTTTGGTTGTAATATCATAATGATGCAACTGACCTGCAAACATGACATAGTGCAATGGAAAGCAGATTTTTTGCGAAATTCAAGTGATTACTTCATGAAATGATTTCAATTTTGAATCACTTTATTCCCTTTCGACAATAAGTTGAATATTATAAATCATCAACAAAGTTAGCTGCATTCTGCATATTGAAAAAATTAATACACTGCAATGTACTGTCATTGTGTAGTTTTCAGTCAAATGATTAATTTATCACTAATCCTACTTTTCATATCAATGTAAATCATGTTAAATTTCGCTTTATAATTTACATTCTGTTGCGGAAATGAAAATCTTCATCACGAGTGAAAATTTGTCATGGCATATGCTTTTGTTTACATCGCTTTGTCATTTTCGAGTGTACCCTTATTCCTCAGAAGGCATTTCTCCCATATTTGATAACAACTGATTCGACGAAACAGGCGTTGTGTAAACTGAAATGTTTTCTCACGTTAGTGAAAGGTACACATCATTTAAAAATAAAACCGGAGCATTTTGATTTCCATACCGGTAGTACAAAGTACGTCCGGTAAACGGATATGGTTGTAGGAAGCTCCCTCATCAAATATTGTTGCCTGTATTTCAGTTAGGGTGTGTTCTGGGATGGCCAAAGAAACTGGGAATTTCCCAATTTGAAAATATGAAAATTAGATTCTAAAATGAATGCCCCATGGTTTTATTTTTTCTGCGAAGTTTCGACAATGGATGGTCTCTGCTTCTTAATCAAACATTTTTATCACACTCATTGATACTGAATTAAAAGTGTTAGGTGACGTAATCATATGTTAAACAATACATCGTCAAAACCGAATAATTTTCTATCCCAAATATTTTCTACTTTAATATTTATGAATACAAAATATCAGATATATTATGTTCAATAGAGAAATTTGCCGAACTTGTTGGTAATTCACAATAATTTAGGTAAACATTGCTTTGATTAACTTTAAAAGTGATCTATTTATATTTGACAATCAGATTTCAAATCATAAGTTTTTAAATTGAAATTTTTAAAATTCTTTCTCAAATCATATATTTGCATCCCCGATAGCAAACCGTTTCTCTTTGCCATCTTGCAGTCTGCAACGTACTGCATTAGTAGTAGCAGATCAAATATTTCAGAATCAGTCCAGAAATTCTCCTACATGATCGTCGCGCCACGAGGTTTAAACCTAAGAATATTATGCATATACTCGGTGATGTTATGGGTTCGCATTTTTAAAATATAGTCGAGCTAGCCAATGTCACGCGTGGGATATAAAATTACATTAATAAAGGCATTTTATAGGGACAATATATGCCTACTGAACTCATCATATAAATTTACAAGTATGTCTAAGTGGATAATGCAGACAAACGCCATGCATAACTGCGCGTCATATCATTTATATACAATACGCACTTATATGCCGAGATTTAAGTTCATTATTTGGCAGCGGGCGCTTACAATTTCGCACGTAATATGCATCATCATATGCACTTTCATGTCAAAATTTTAAGTTCAAATTGGAGTAGGGGTGGGCAACAAATCTATATAATCCACTCTTAATACCAAATCGGATGTTCATCAATCAGTATTATTCAACTATATAGTCGGAGCTGTAGGAATCGAAGCTTTGGGAAGCAGAATCAGAAAGATTCAGGTATCTATACTTCTAAGGCAAGTATTTATGTATTGAAACCATCTTTTGCTGCTTAAGAAAACCATGGTCTTTTTCATCCATTGTTTCCTTATAATTTTTTTTTTTGTGGTTTGAAATTCAACACACATGAATTTTTTTTCCAAAATATATTCAGCTGATAGTGAGCTAACAAAGGAGGAAGCTGTGGCCTATGCTTCATGAATATACTGCTTTGAGCAGTAATCATACTTCATCAAACATGATTATTTTGTTGGTTTCAAATATCTTTTTTTTTTTTCGAAAAATTTGTGTTCAGAGACACCTTATTGGTTTTCTTAATCAGCAAAGATCACAATCATATTTTAGGCTACCTCATTTTCAGGCCTAGAATCTATTTGAATGTGTATTTCATGTTTACATTACTTAGTTATGTTTCGACTCTTATTAAGCAGCAAAAGATAGTTTCATACAGGCTTTAGAAGTATATTGATATCATGAACAATAAACAAAATCTTTTTGCGTTCTTGGGTGCTCATCATGTAATAAATAAATTCCATTACATTGTGGTGTCTGCTTGCAAAGAGCCCTTTTTGGAGAGAATAGTATAACAAATAGGCGTCATATAAAAAAAATTAATCTTATTTCTGATTTTCTAGGAAGTTGTATATAGCAATGGTTCCCAAACTTTTTGTTTGTGCGGCTCCAAATTATAAGGGGAAAATTCACAGCGCATTTAAACAAAAAAATACGTTTTAATGTTTATCAAATGTATGTCTAAGGAATGAAAGCAAAATGTCAACTCTTCTTCCTCATCTTTGGGAAAAATCATCCATGTTCGCTAAAATTTGATTCAGCAGAAAAATAAACTCCAGCTCACGAAATTGTAAATATTTAAAAATGTAAAATATTCAATCATATTTTAGTCATATTTAATACATTCTGTTGATTTTCGAGGCGCACTTAGCAGCTTGCACCCTTTGAGAACCGCTGGTGGAGAGTGATGGTTTGACCCTGTTGTATTCTAAAGGCCTAACGCTGTTCCTTAATAAATTTCAACTTGATGTGAAGATAGCCAAATTCTTGGAAATTTTGCCATTGATATATAATAAGAATCATTATATTGCATATAGGGCCAATTTCTTATAAACATTTGGTTTGTTTCATAAGTAAATATGCTTTTCGAACAAATATAACTGAAATGATTAACAGGCTTTGCAATTTCAAATTAGACATAATTCTGATATGTTCAATTATTTTGAATATAAAAATCTGGAATTTTGAATAACAGTTTTTGAACAACAACACCTCAGAAAAACGTTAGCTAAAATCAGTCTCAGCTAAATTTTTTGTTTTAGTGCAGTTTAGAAGAAGGTTTACTAAACCATTATAGGGACAGCAGTATTTCAGGATTCAGTATCAATTATTGCATATAATCCTAGAATTGATAACATTTTATATGTTCATGTTGATTACGAATCCTTCTTTTTATTTCAGCAATGCTCCTGGACAGATAACTTTCACAGTATATCTGATGAACTTAGCAATAGAACAAATCGAAGGAGACAAGAAAAGGAAGAAGACATTTATTTTTTGACTGAATCAGATTCTGCTCGTCATGCTTGATGATCAAATTTTTGATAAACTAATCTGCCTTGATTGCGATAGGATGGTGAAAAATGCAAATTAATTGGTGGCCAACTTACAATAACAATTTCCATGCATGCTCAGGCTTCTTACTACATCACTAGGGTTAGGTATAAATCTTTGTTGTTTTCAAAAGTCTCAGATCAAACAGTACTAAGCTTAGCATAAAAATGTATTGTCGATTGGGTCTCCATGAATAACTACATATCCTTCTTCTAGGTTTTTGTGTCGATGGATCCTTATGCATATAATGCAAGGATGCTGCAGCAAGAGTGCAGATAACTATCCTAATTGCTGCATACTAACACAAATATATTTTTGTAACGTTTCGTCTGACCAACATCAGACTTCCTCAGACAAACATTTATTAAACTGCAGTTTGCTCGAAAAACAGGTTACAGAAATATATTTGTGTTAGTGTGCAGCAAGACTCTTGAATCACTTAGGATATAAATGTCTCTTGGCATCAATGTTTGGCATATTTTTTCAAAGTACCGTATGTACCAATCGAAGACATAATAACAACAATCAATTTCATTCAAGGAAATTTAGATATGATAAGAGGGGTTTTACACCTCTACTCCTAATAAGATTCTGCGTAATTAAAAGTAAGTAAAAAATTGGCTAATTATGAACTGTTTAAAATGGACCATGTATGATCCTCCAAATAAGATAACATACACAGTTACTTTTATAACACAGGTATCCATAAAGTTTACAATTGAATAAAAAATATAAAGATTTCAGAGGATGAGTTTTTTAAATTGTAAAGAGACTTAATGAACATCCCTGTTGTACATGTTACAATTTATGGATTGTTGATTTGCCAAACAGCGCCATGACAGAAATTACAAGTGGCCAATATTTTCAATCTTACTTCCTATGACTGTGTGTTAGATGCAATTATTTATTTTTAATTCATGATTAGCTGATAGAAAATATTTTCTATTTCCTGTCATTATGTTTCTTAACTTCTGGATTTGGTTTCAAGCATTAGACGCTTGTATGCTATTTATCAAACTATCAAGTAATAATATTCCTTCCCACATGAGTTTCATTTATCTAACATTACAATTATAAATTTTGTTGTTTTACACTTTTTTCTTTTGAATTGTTTATAATTCAATTCATTTTTGTCACTTATGGATTGTTTTGAACCGTTTTTTTTTTTCCTTTTTTATTAAGCTATCTAAGCAAAAGAAAGTGTATGACCACATGGTGTGATTTTGTCCTGTAATTTGGGGATTGCACCCAGCAGATATTTATCTTAGCATTAAGGAATGTGACAATTTTATTCATTTTTATTATTCAACTTCTACGGTGATAATAACAAGCTCACGTAACAAACTAGCTTTGTCAACTTTTTTTGATTATTGCGCAATGACCACAACTTTCAACTCATTTCAAAGAAAATTTTTGAAACACCATTTTCAATTTCATTTTTGCATAATCTTCATGAAGAACTAAATGTGGACTAACTTCCCGTTCAAAGTTTGTTTATTTCGTTTGTTTATTTTGCTCGATCACTTGTTAAGTCTTGTTCAAGCAGCAACGTTTGAATAATTAACATTTATTGAGCTTGAATAATGTTTCTTTTGAATTAAATAAATTTATAACGGGCAGTTAATCGTTTTCTAATCGTCTTGTAGCAGATTAAACTAATTTTTTGCTTTTAATGCAAAATTTTCAACAGACACCATATTTCCATTCTTATCATTTTTATGCACTTTTTCATTTTACTATGTGTTCCAATTAGTAAATATTTTCTGATTTTAAGCAGAGTGAAATTTGATATCAATAATTAATATTTTCTTTAGTTATCCTCCATAATATTTGCTGGAATCAAAATCAGAGAGTGACTTCTCAGGAGGTTATGGCGCTAGGAGGCCTTTTTATTTCTAAGAGGCAATGTAATAATATGTGAATCTGGTAACTACACTTCAAACAAAACAGCATTCTGAAATCCTTAATAGAAAGTGATGTCAAAATATATTAGAAGCTAAGTTTGTTCATCTCTCCTTACTGGATACAAAGCAATTGTGTGAAAGCAATTGCCAAATTCCTTAACTGTGGTTGATAGCCTTTACAAAACAACTTATTATTAGGTACTCTAACCATAACCTGGTCTACATACTACGTTCCAGTCTTGGTTCACATACTTCGGGAGTACCCATTATTATCATTGCCAGTGAATTGTCTTATTTTTCGGAAGCCCATTTCGTTAGGTTATAAATATTACTAATGTTCTTTGTTTCATTAGGCACCATTCCATCATAGCAACATTTCATTTTATAATTTCTAAGAGTGGTTCTGAAATTTTTAAGTTTAACCACAACAGCTAGCAGGTCCGGTAGGAGGCGGGAAAATGCGGATTTCCAAGAGGGTTTACGAGGGGGCTAAAAAACGTTTCAAGCTATGAAAAACTGCTATGTATTATACAGGGATTTTTTTTTTACAATTTAAAAGGGGGGGGGGGTGTTCCGACCATAGATCATCAGATCGTATTTGGCCATAAATAATAACTCTGAAGATATATTATCAAATCAAACATGCCAAATATTATCTATAAGAATTATAGTTATGTAGGCCTATTCATCGTTATCTAAATTAATACATATTTTATTAATATGGTAATAGAAGCAATGAGCATAGTTTATGAATTTTGTGAAATCTTTCATTATATTATCACAGATCGAAGTTCCCAATGAGAAGACTTTGACATTTGAAACCTCTTTTTTTGATAGCCTTCGTTGTCAATGTAATATAAAGGGCTTCTTTATATTAAAACTACCATATTTACAAACTCTTTTTTTTGTTTTGTTATTGTTTTGTTTATTTTAAAATTTATTAATAGTGATTTTAAGACAGTTTTTATCGTTTTTCTAAGTGGTAAAACAGTCATGTATCAGAAAATATCGACTTGGTTTATTATTAAAAAAACTGTTCAAATCAGGTTGAAATTTTGCATTTCCGGGGTCATAAAAAATACTTTATAGCCTATTGTAGATAAAGTTGTGTTATTTGAAATGCCCGCAGTCTCATTATTCCTATTAGCAGGAAATGTTGAAAATGTCTGATATTGGTCAATCCTATATGTTTGTATTGATGCACAGAAACTGATATTTCAACACTACGGAAAACGTTTTTTTTTTAGATCATTATGTTGGTCTCAATGACAATATTATAAATGTTTTATCATTTGTTAACTTTTATAATATATTATTATTAAAAATTGTTTTCTGGAATTTTATAATAAAATTGCATGAAAATCAATTTCTATTCATCATATCAGGGCAAAAGTATTATGGAGGATCAGTATTGAGCTCTCGATTGTTTTTTAAGGTTAAATTAATGAGATATCAAATAAAATATACTATTACAATAATATAAGATCAAAGCTATTTAATACTGGTATATTGAGGGTTAGATTTGCTTTTATTATTAATGACACTAAAAGAGTATTGTGGTCTGGATACATATTGAAAGGAAATGATAACACATTGAATGAAAAATACCTATTCAACACTGACACAATGATGAATTTTGAACAAAGGAATGAATCTAATATAGAAAAACAAGTTTAACAGCTTTCAATGCAAACACCAAAACATGACAAACATGTGAAATATACTTCACCACATTTCTATTTAATTACATTGTGTGTGGATTGCATGAACTACGAGCTCAAGCTTCAAATCCCACAATGTGTCATCATACTATGCTGCCGGACTGTTAAATTATGGCTTCCTCTGCCATTTATATTTCTAAAATGATGAGCTGGTAGTTTATTTATACACGGACTAGCATATTTATGACAAAGATATAAACTGATGTTGTGGTAGTAACACATTCTTGCCGTTACTGTTAATTCAACTATTGGGATATTACGAAACTTGGTAGGGAAAATGACCGGGCTCTTTATTGGGAAATGTTTGACAAAAATTTTCCAGCTCCTCACTGAAGCTGAAGAAAATTTTGACCCGAAAGAGTCTGAACTTGAGAAAACTAAATTTTGATAACTGGAAAATTATCGTATGCAGGCTTTTTTTAGTGCTTTATTGAGATTGCTCAGTTAACGTAATGCTTAATGGTATCTGGGGAAATTTTTTTTTCAATTATCACCATAAAAAATTCAAAATTTCAAATCATATACAGAGGAGCTAGCTTCAATTTTGATGAAAAACATACCTAACTTGGACTTCACATGCCTGAGAGTATCTGACTGACATTTATTACATATGTGTGTGATTTCATTTAGAGTTTAACTATTTAATTTTTTTATTAGAACAACCCCATATTAACCGAAATCATCCACAGAGAAGAGTTGATCAGTCACTAATTCGAACAAACCAAATTCTGCAAGACCACATCCATAGAAAAGGTGAGTGCATAATTACGATGGATTGAAAAATAAAAACTGGAAGATTGCTTCTTCTCAGCAGTGAGTGGATTACTTGAAATGGAATTGTATTAACGAGAAGTTGTTAATTTTCCTGAGAAATTAATTAAAGATATAATATTGCTTTTTCATGGACCATATTAAATTATTCAGTAATGCTAATAATGCTAGAGAATTGTGGAATATTGAACAACTACTGGTATTAAGAATAGTATGTCCTCGCATATAAGTCAACCCAAGTGAATTTATAAAAATTTGCATATAAGCTGACCATACTAATCGTACGCACTTATCATAAGAACTTGTGAGTATGGTTCGAGTTGTAGCTGTTGGAATTAAGTTAGCATAATGTCATTTCGTTTGAGTGCGATCAGAGTTATATGCGTAAGCCGAACCCTTAGTTTGGCAATTTTTTTTGAAAATTTCAAACTGGGCCTATATGCGATAACATACGGTAATTACCACATTTAGATGATCAATTTCTTGTGTGGCCACTGTTGGTGGAGCAATTCATCCTGTTATTGATGCTTGGTTATAATTTGCAATAAATTCAAGATATTATAATAAATCATGATCTTCTATTTTAATAATGTTAAGTTGGTCTTGAATGCATTGCTTCAATGTCCACACTCTACAGACACAATGTAACTGAATTGAATCTGTACCGCTGTGCCAAATAATTTCAGAATAGTAAACTAAATAGGTATAATGATAATCTGCCTTTTATTTATTCTTCCATTATCCAAGGCAATTTTATTTTCTTCAGCGGAAACACATTCTCGAGAGCCATATCTATCGGCCATAGGAGGACCTCAACCAGGTAAACGCGCACGACCCAGTTTTCCCGATCCACCTTCAAGGATGATGCCAGATGCGTTTCCTGCAGTGCTGGACAAATTCTTGAAAGATTCTAAGTACATGCCTGCACCATATCCATCTAGTAGCCGATCTATGTTTTCACCCAGTAGTCCTGCCCCTGTCTACCCGTCAACGGACAATCGTTACAGCCATGTCCAAATGCAGCCGTTAGTGTATAATCCCAACACCATATTTGGTCATCCAACATCATCTGCCAACCCACAGCAAACCTATACGCCGCTTGTCGTGCCGCAGCTTGAACCAGCGGTTACCCAAATGGGACAACCCGATCCTAACGAAATGTCAAGACTAAATACAGGTTTACTATCATCACAGAGAATAAGAGAAGGTCAGAATGAATTCATAAGTCAACCTGATCTTGGGATGGGTACTCCATCTCAGAGAGGAATTGGGGAATTTGAAGAAATTAATGCCACCATTGGTTTTGATTTGGGCATTGAATCTTTGGGGAGTTTGAGAGACGTCAGCCTTAATGTTGATGATGAATTAGGTGCGGAAATGAAGCAGATGAGTATAGAAGAAAATATTTCTCTCACTGACTTGGTGAAACCAGAACCAACACAAGACGTGCCTTTTCCTAACCCAAACCCTCCTACAACGACACTTGCTCAATACCCGCAGCAGGCGCCCCCAATTTTCGATATTCAGGCTCCATCACCACTACAGTTCCAAGCACCTCCACCCCCTTACCACAGACCCTCTGAACAGAGTCAAGAAAGACCCCAAGTTGTCCACAATCAATTGACATCGGCTTATGAAATTGAGCAAAGCATACCTTCTTTCGACTTGAATGACCCACAAGGACAGTTTTCATTGGACGCATCTCAAAATGACATCGAGGACATGATGAAGAACAATCCTAACTAATATAATGCTCGGAAGAACAGTAATTTCGATGATGATGTTTTCACTCCAGAAGTCATCCAATCGAAAAAAAACGAAATCTGTAGCGATTTCAAGCCAGGTCACGCTTTGTAAGTGGGTGTAGTTTGCACTTTGCAGTAGTGGATAGATGGAAAATTAATCAAAATATAAATTTCCAAATTTTTCAAGAAAAGGTGATGCTTTAACTTTACAGTAATTTCTTAAGCATAGTGGGTGAAGATGATCTCGAAAATGCATTTTACATAATTGGTGCTAAAAATACATAACTGTACTTGGTGCTTTCACTAAGTGACATTCGATAAGCCAGGAATACCTTTATGTGAACTGTATACTTTAAATATTGACTCAGTAGGAATCAAAATAAAAAATTAGGCCCATTCAGTGTATCATACTTGAATCTGGCTACAAAACTTGCTTTTCATTAGGAAAAATATTTTATAAATGTATTATGCTTTTACTGATGGTCAGTAGCGTTCTCAACTGATGATAATAGCAGTGCCTGAATTTTGAGCTTCAAGACTTGAGCTGTAACATCTGTTTTAAAATTAATGCTAATGGGCTGAAATACTCGATAGTTGCTCAGTTCTGCCTTTTTCAGTAAATCTTATCTTAGAAATGAATTTATTTCGATTTCATCACTGACCTTAGGGCTGGGCATTTCGAATCGGTTTAGAGCGAAATTTCGAATTGCCGCTATCTTGTTTTTTTCCTTTCCGCCAATGGCCATATTTTTTTAACGAAATTCTGACATATCACTCTTTTCTGTAGTGAGTTATTGATGGAAATGTGTTTTTCATTGTGTGAACACTCAGCAATCTGGGATGTATTTTACGTTTCCAGTAATTTATGTGTCTGAGGGACCCAATACAATAAGAAAGTTACATACAATTATATATCTCCCAAATATTCAATTTGAAAAAAATTTTCTATTCGATTCTGAATTCATCAGGTATTCGAAAATGCCCAGCCCTACCTTATTTTTGTTCCTTGATGGGCGTATTTTTTTGACTGATTTTGTAGCTTTCAAATTTCAGACATGGATTAATAACTACTCTGTTATAAATTTATATTTTCATTGTCCTGCTGCTCGACAATCTTGTATTTTTTTTCTAACTTTGTTGGTTTAACGTATATCCTTACTATTTCAGTTGTTTCTATTGCCTAAAAGGCTGGTTGCAAGCGTATGTGTAGTGTTATTCCTTAGTACTGTAGTTTTACGCTGCGACCTCCAAGGGTAGATCGATTACAACTTTATGGCCTGATTAATTTTATAAGTTCCTTATTTTGATTATTATATTACTATATTCGTTCCTTAAATTTAGTGTGGTAGTGTGTTATGGAATAATATTTTTCTGTATGACCGTTTTTTACAAGAAGATAGTGTGTTTCCTATACTATTTTGAGACATGATTTATTCCCTTATTGACAACAGCTTGTAAATCAGATAGTTCGTAAAATGAGTGTTTGATGGTATTACATTACTTGGCAAACAACTTTAATTTGACTAGAATTTTGTTTCCGACTTATTTCTATGAACCTGAAATTTGTCCACCTTATTAGTTATATTATGCTTAAAAAGTTTTTTTAATTGAGCTAAATTTAAAAATATAATATTAATCTGAATATTGTGTTTGTGTATATATATTATGTATGGATTGTACTGTATAGTTTTAATTTTGCACTCATGTTTCTCTCGTAACAGTTTTTTTACTGCCATTTGCAAGATTGAGGCATAAGTTTAATAAATATTTTGTCACAATTCACAACTGTTATTTGTTCAGCTTTCTTAGGATAGTATTTACATATTTATCTCGTGGGAGAGGAAAGGTAATTAATTATGGCAAACCACAGCAGTCCATGTCGGATATGGAATTGATTAATCAGCCAGTTGTTTTCAGATGCATGGACTTAATGGTGGAGGGTGCCGGCAGGCGTATATTCCTAACGCTTAGCACGATTCGCCACACTGTCTAGCTAGCCATAGGCCAGAGCTAAAATTGGCCTCAACAATAGTAGCTAGTTCACATTAGCCAATGAGGTTTTGCAAATGCTCAGAATAAATAACCCTACAGCAAGGCAGTACAATCTGGAAAATAGACCAGAACAAGTATTTAGAGATTATTCAACTTTGTTGTAATTGGTATCAACTCCTCTATATCAAAATTGGTGCTAAACAGTCTTCGTAAATCCTCCGAAATCGCACTGGGTTTGTCTACATCGCTGCGCATGTTACCGAGGGATGGGAAAGTCAGAAATTCACAAAGCCGACCCATGACTTTTTGATAATTAGATTTCATAATAAAAAACACTTCCTAAATCCTCTGAAATCGCACTGGGTTTGTCTACATCGCTGCGCATGTTACCGAGGGATGGGAGAGTCAGAAATTCACAAAACCGACCCATGATTTTTTGATAATTAGATTTCATAATAAAAAACACTGGCAAAAGCAGACAAACCTTTTGAATAGTCTATAGACAAAATTTTGACTTTCATCAATTGTCATTATGAACTTTGACGGCCCCGAATGGTAGTTTGAAATACCTTTCCAGCTTTAATAAAAACATGCCAGCCAAAGCCATAGTAAGAATTTAAATTTGCTCTCAAGGACAAGCCAAGACTGAACATCCCAATATCCAACTAAAACAAATATTAGGCCATGAAACTTAAGAGACACAAACTTAATTACTTGTACATGTATAGAGAAATGCTGTTCTTCTGTCTCGCCTACAATAACATCCTGAAGACCTTCAATTCTGTTCCTTATAAAATAAAAACATTCATTGGTGACATTGCACCTCTATATTCTCCGCAAGAAAAAACACCAATGACATTACATTTATGGACTACTTTACCTATAATTATTTCTAAAAGGCATCAAAAGCGATGTATTTACAAGAAAATGAAAAGAAATCATGATATACTGAATCTGTTTGGAACAGAAGCACTTTCTGTAAAGAGAAAAAAAGAAAGCTCTTCACAGAGCCTCATTGATTCTGTTCCAAATCTACTCTTACATTTTTCTTCTGTGATAAGATGGAATAGCATAACTGAAGAAGAGATATTTTGATACAGTAACTGTTTGTCTGCGAAATATTAGCAGTCCTTTAGCACCCAATCAAGATGTGTCTTTAAATTGACAAAAAGCATTAGAAAGCCCAAACTAGGTTGGTGATTGCCATTCATCTTACAAACCAATGAGATTTTACCAGTTTAATATATCCAGGGTTATGGCCGTGACCTATTACTAAAGGCAATACATGTGGTTAGAGTTGTTTTGAATGATTATTCAAGTGGGAATGTCTTCATTAAAACTACAACACATCCATGCATTGCATAATAACCATTGTGTTCATACAATTTTCACCACTAACGACTTAAATATGCACAGTTGAATCTAAATGCTAAGAAAAAATATACGTATACATATATAATTAGTATAGCATAATAATCTTGGTCCTTAATTTCGCAGTGGGTGGATCAAAAAATTGGTCGCTCGAGACCCACATAGTCGTATACAAATATTTTTGATTTAGAATAGAAATAATTAGAGCATCAGTGTTGTTGGCATTTGTCAGAATATGATAATAATATGGCAGCAATTTAAGAACAAAGTATTTAATCATCACTGATAATTATAAAAAATTAATCAAACAAAATAACGGACATTCGTTTTCATATTACATTCCACACATGGTATTCAAAAATCAATTTCAAATTTTAGTCAAGAGGTTTAATAATCGCACACTACCTGTTTGACTTATCGGTACTCCTACAAGTGAGAAATTGAAATGTTATTAAGGTTTAGTTTAGCAAAGACAAAATATATGTCATATTTTGCAGAAAAATTAAACCATTCATTTTTATTTTGTTAATAGAACACAGTACAATAATACGAATGCCTACCAAAGTTTGCCAAAAAGCTAACAATGCAATCCTTTCTTTTATTTTTGTACATTGAGAAATAAAATAAAAATATGTCTATACACAGCAGTGCAACGAAGCTTGATAAAATCATGTCCATTGACAATAAAAATTATTGCACGGATTTCTTTCTTGTAGTTCAAGATTTGTCATATTTTCCTCGGGTCTAAAAATTTTGAAGTAATTAGTTAACACGTTTTTAAAACCAAAATTGTGCAGGATGAGAAGATGAATATAGAATGCATGACACATAATAGATATGCTTACCGGTATAGCATTGTACATATCATTTGCTAGATTTGATAGCTTTCCTGCCATGTTTCGCACCCCTTCCTTCAATTGCGTCATATCTGTATTCGCAGCATTCAACAGAGATGTAGGAGACATTGCTGAACCAGCAGGCCTTAAAGCAAGTGAAAGTTAAAAGAAAGTTCCAAATAATATACTGTTAACAAAACCTACTTTTCTAGATGTCACAATCAATAATGTTGGGAAAGGTAGATGATTGCATCAGGTTCAGAAATTTATGTTTTAATAAGAACCAGTTTCTAAAGAGTGAACAAATAAAACTTTTGTCAGAGGTAGAGACTTCTGGCAGTTAAAGTGAGTTTACAAACAGCCAAGTTTTTAGTCTCAAAATTGGTCATTCAGTCCAAACCTTCTTTTCTGGCCATGCAATAACTGTGTCTCCCCGAAATTAAGACCTAGCCTAAATTAAAAAAATGATGTGTTTTTTTTAAGTAAATGAATATCTGTTTTCATATTTTGTATGTTTAAAAATATTGTCATTCTCTACTTTGTAATTTTGTTTTTGATAAGTGAAAATAAAAGACATCCCCCCAAAATAAGACCTGGTGTTATTTTTCATCAGAAAATCAAAAAAAAGAAAACTTTCGGGGAAATACAGTATGATTTTATGATACTATCTCGCTAGATCTACTGTTATATAAATTACAAGATATTAAGATATATTAGCTATGGATTCAACTCACTTATTTGTACTTGGCTGATCCTCATTTTTTCCAAAAAACTCATCGCTACTGATTGAAGTCTTTCCTTCGAATTGTGATGCACGGTTACGAGACTATGCAATCAAAAATATCAAAAGTGATTTCAACATTGATATTATTAAAGAAGTGAGAAGCAATCATTTTTTCATCAGATTTAGTGTTTGTTAGTTAACATAGAAATTGCCATAAATATTTTAAATTAGCGAAGATTACAAATTTTATTTCTGTATATAGAATGTGGATAACACCCAATTTACGTAAGCAAAAATCATGATGATTAATTACGTAATATATACGTGGAACTTGGGACTGTTTATCTTGGGATATTTTTGTTGTCTTTTTCAAATTCATTTACATCAAAGCTATAAATTAAACACCATAAGCAGAAAGAAATTATTATAGAGGCGAAAGCGAATTGTTCAGCATTAGAACTTTTCGATAAGCTGCTTACTAAAATTTACATCCATTCTAAAAGATTGAAAGTGAACAATTTAGCAACTCTGCTTATAGTACAGTTACATGAGCGGATATACCATCAGTATGGAAAAAAATAGCACAATAACAAAAACTATATACACTCAAATAACGAGATCATGCAATGTATAAAAATATAGAATTCCATGCATTTAAATATTTTTCAATTGTATTTCCTATAAAAGCAATATAAAATGACAAATAAAATTCTGTCAATTTTCTTACAAATTCTCAACACAACAACGAGTCTGCACAAATAAACAGCAAACATTGAGAATCTAACTATTGGCTAATATAACACCATATATAGATGCACTACAATATCTACCGGTATATCATAGCTTTCACTTGTACATTACAAAATCAAGAGACCGCCACAATAGACCAACATAAACAGCTACCTACTGAAGCCATAGTCCAGTGCCATAATCTATTACGGTAAGTATGTAACTATAACAAAAAAATCTCAGATATCAAAAATTACTAAAGATTTGAGGTAATATTAAAAGAATACTTAAAAAGTTCATATCTAATACATTGTAAGCAATGTATATGTTATATTTCATTTGTAAAACACTTTAGTATTGTTATTGAAGCTTGGTTGATTGTTTTATATTGCTATATTGAATATGCTTTTGTGTTTAGGAATTCATGTGTATAAGTTTTCAATATAAAATAGGCAATGATTATTTTATTTTCACATGTCCATTAATGATTGTAATTGTGTGTTTCGCCCAAGGCCGACTTTATGTTTGTATCATGTTTGTTATGTTTTTGACCACAAAGCAAAACTAAAAAAAAAGAAGAAACAAATGCAGACGCTTTCCAGTTTAAACTAACCTTAACCAGATGCAGAACACAATAAAAACAACAAATAATCATGCCTCCCTCGCCGTTTCTCACTGTCCCATTAAACAAAATAAAACACAACATAAATATACATGCCAAGATTCGTTTTCTTTTTCAAACATAATACCTTAATTTGAGACGATGTTATGGACACATGACGTCCTTTCCAAGACTGCACAAAATTGATAGCACAAAAAATGATTAAAACAATTAAGATGTTAAAAAATGTCCAGTAACAGATAAGGAACTGAAATGTCTGATTTCAATTTTAGCAACCTTGAATTTGAGGTTGAGATAAAATTTGGCAGAAAAAACTAAAAATGGAAGAATTTCACTAACTGAATTATTACTATTGTACAACTAGAATAAAATTGAAACTATTTTTAAAATACTTTGCAAATTTTGGACTAAAATCTAAATCATTTACAAACAAATTTTGAACATCATATAAATATTAAATAGTCTGACAAATTTGAATAAGTAAATCATGTCATTACAAATAACCAGGGATGTTATATTCCAAATATTTTTTTGGCTACAGTCGAAATCAATTACATGAATTTACAATTTTGAACAGAATTATTTAGAAGTCAGAAGGTAGTATAATTATATCTAGAATCCAATTACAATTGATTCCTAAAAAACGCCCGAATTTTATAAACAAAATATTTGTCAATAATTAAGATATAATACTATACTACAATGATGAAACAAATAAAAATAACTGTCATGCTGAACCATCTTCTTTTCGTTACCTGACCAGAGGGTACTAGACAACAATATTAAAAGAAAAAGAGAGACAATAACATGTTACTGTTAAATGAAGTTAGCTTCAAAATAACTAAAAAATAAAATAAAAAGGGAAGAATATACAAATGAAATATGTTAAATGTAACTAATCTTGGCCAATTGAATCAGTGTCGTATAAATGAAACTTTTATCTATGGCCACACCTAATGCGATCTGTTTAATGGGAAGAAAAATAAACGTTGAGTGAACTAAAAGTGACTATTTGCATTACACTAACTATATCTATGGATTGATAGGTAGGTAGTTCAAATTATATTATCAAAGTTAGAATAGAAAATTATTACATTTAATTATATGTTCAGATCTTTTAACCAGATCTGATAAAATTGGCTATCTAAGTCCAGTAATATCACTAAAAACATTTTAATATAACTACTATATCCATGGTATTTGGATTAAAATAATGAGAAAATTGATGTCGTAACTTCATTTCAAGAACAAACTGGTTATCATAAAACTTTGTCTTATGTTTTACCATTCTGGAAACTATTTTGAATACGGTAAGTCTTTATTACTGTACTTCTCCAAACTTCCACAGTAATCAGTGTTTTAATTTATATTCAATTTGAAACTATGATATTGATATTGATATACAGACTTGATGATTCCAAAAGCAGCACCTTATTTTACTTTACTTTATTAGGATGAATCGCTGTGATATTGTTCCCATTCAACATAATACTATAATGCAACATATTGAAGAGGCAAACTTGAATGTTTTTCAAAAAAAGTTGAGTGCATACTTCAATTCTTCTAGCAAGGGGCGTTTTAGAGGTATATGGGTTGTTATGAGTGGCTATCCTTACACCCATGTTTATTACAATGCAAGTTTTGACAAGTGACATGACCTATATTTCAGAATATTTCTGTATGATATTTTGCAGCTATTAATTAGTATGATATAATTGGGATGAGTCAATAATTCCCAAGTTTGGGCATACCATCCTACAGAATATTGGAAAAAAAAGATTATTGTCATTGGAATTTTATAAACTCAGAATCATGTCATTTTGACTCTTTTCGACAGAATACAGCCTGGCTTGATATAGAAAAAAAAAATTGCCAAAATCTCTAGAAAATGAAACAGAAGTATATCCCTTACAAATTTTGTCCATAAATAATATCAGAAGGTTTTAAACTAAAGGACATTATTGAAATTCAAAAAGGCCTATCTTCATTTTAATAAAACTAATCCAATTTTTAGACCAAACAAAATCAATTTTATATTACTTTTGAATTATATACAGACAGCCTACATATCTAGATGGTATAAGGATGGTATTATAGCATAGTTTATGTACAGAGACTACAAAATGGACATATGTCCTTCTACAAACATTCTACTTTTTACCAAGAGCACACTTTCACTTGCTCTTCTAAATGTAAGAAGCTTAGGGTCTATTTCATGTTCAATTTCCTTACGCACATTAATGTCATCCATAGCCTCTGTTGGCTGGAAGGAAGATTAAGTAAAAAAAAATAATAAAACACTTAAGACATATAACAATGCTAGAGGACTGAAAAATTAGAATTACAATAATACCTAAACGAGATGGCTCTTAATAAAAATATTCACTAAGTTTTAAAACCTTAGTCAAGCGAATATATTTGAGTTTAGGCGAAGATTTTGAATCACTAAGAAAACAGTTAAATACCGGTAAGTTGTCCTGGACTTGATATATAAGTACACACCACACCAGTATAATATTTCATATACATGTGATACTTTAGTGCAAAAGGATGGAGGCAATATCATCAAGGAACAAAAAGAGCGAGTATAATTCAGTGTAAATATCCCAGCACACCAGTGCAAGAATTAAACACCAAGCACAAGTCACCAAAAATATTTCAGGTGAGAAAGTGAAAATTTCAGCATAATTCAGTGCAGAAAACTTTTTATTTGGAAACTGATAACTAACGGTGCTTAAATCGAATCGAATGACCTATTTATTTTATTTATTATATAAGATTCTTGAGTTTAGGAATAATTTTATTGGAAAAATTGAAATTTTGAGCAATGGAAGTATAACCAAAAAGGTTTTAATTTGATTTCAGACAACAGTACAACAATAAAATCATTTTTTTTTATTTTCAAAAATCAACTCTTTGAATGTTTATTGACTTCTATGTATTCAGTGCTAATCATGATGAAATATAGAATATATTCAATATTTTAGAATGCATCCGGAAAAGCAGATTGATAAAATGACGAATTATAAAATAGCAAACAGTTTGAAGTATGCCTTGGCGCACTTTTTGATTAGGCAGTTTGAAACCCAAATTATACCCTTTGCAAAGCTTTGCCAGCTCTTTAACGGCAATTAGAAAACATCAAAAATACACCGATTATATAAACTGAACTAAAGCAAGTTCGCATGACATCACCAATATCTTACATCATCAGTATTTCTGAACATTTGTTCTGAAGAAATCGAGTTTGAGTTATCGAATCTTGAAGATGAAACATCACTGCGGAGATCCATCCTGTTTGGCCTGTGATATTAATAAAGGTACGAAGCATTAAAAACAAAAAAAGTAGAAAACACTGAATATTATACCAAATCTGATTACATGAGAAACTCGCAACTCCAGTTCAAGAATTAGATAAAATCATTTTTTTACTTTATGTCAAGTAGTTTGAGTGTCCAGTTTTGCACATCTAATTCGCTAAAAATATTTAGATAAATGACATTATGCTAAACTTATAAATGTAAAGTTACAGTATGAAAACAAGACATGGAAACAAATGATGACAGCTAGCAGAGTATTGGCCCCCATGTGAGAAATCTTGAAATAGGAGTTATTGTCATATTAGTAAATAGGTGTTGTCATAAGGGCTGGTAACGCTTGACTGATTTTGATGGTTAACAGTTACGATTCATTTTAACGTTAACTGACATTTAAGGTACAAATCACCTTTTTTCAAAAATGATTAGCTCATATAACTTATTATTATGCGGTTAAACGGTTAACTTGACCTGGTTAGCAGTTAAAGTGTTTTTCTTCAAATTCCCAGGCCTAGTTGTCATGCGAAAGACAAAAAGTTATTCGTGCTCATTCGGCCCACAGGTAAGGGGTTGACAATAACAGATCAAAGGTGCTCATCAAAAATGGCCAATACCAAATAATGTATTATTCCGAATACATTCTAAATTAATTTTTCGAAATATTGAATATTTTCTAAAATGGGACTTTTCCACGATAGAAATTCTTCAGACAATTGCGAATTTGTAGAAATTGAATTTAGTCTTGCAGAATAATTAAGACAAACATTGTTTTAATCAGTATTCCCTATTTTATTTTGTCGGAAGTTACTGATTTTTTCCTATCATAGGATAATAAAAACTTGAACAGACATTTTCAAATGAAAATATTCTAAATTATTCCAAAAATCAAGAAGTCACTAAATTGAATATATCTAATATGTACCAACCAGATTAGGGTTGGGACATAATTTTATTTCAATTTTACTTATCTTAGTTCTATTACGAGTTCGGAGACTAGCCAAGTGACTCCCGTAGTAGTTGTACCTGAAATCATGGCTTAACCCTAACATGGTACACATACTACGCTCTGGTGTCCGCCACCTTGGTTCACATACTACGGGAGTGCCCCAATTTTTAAATGTATCCAAATATTCGGTTCGTTTTGGACATCCTTGGTGCTCATATATATATTCTAACAAATCCCACCTTAATAACATTTTAAGTATAGTTTATTTTTAAGCATTTTGCCTACTATCTGATTTTACATCTTCAATTTGAAGGAGTGGGAAATAATGGTTTTCCAAATATAAATATGGGTTATACTGTGTACACATAAAAGTATTTGAATATAAGTAGCCCACTGTCTCGATAGAATTTGAATGCCTGATTCAAACTAGGAACCATTCAATGAGTAAACATTTGGCGTTTTTTTCACAATGTTTCAAATTAAACAACAACAGTAATGTGGGTAAATGGACTATAAACCTTAAAAAATTATTTCATCCAGCAATGATATAATTCTCAGAAACAAACGAACGAGTTGGTGAGTAAAATAGACCATTACCTTTCATTTCTGTACGAATTTCCATTTCGATAGCTGTCTTCTCTCTGTGACATTGCCTAGGATAGAAATAAATTGATATGAATCGAAATGAAATATATTGTCATAATCAACGAAAAATAATAATTTAAAATAAAAGGCCATGCAGAAATAATAGAAAGCCAAACTTAAGTAGCGATGGTGTGTATTAAATATTTAACACCAGTTTTTGCAGAAGCAACAAGATTTCTAGTCCTATAGTAGTTTTGTTCTAGGTTTTACATATCTATGTATGCAAAACTTTGTTAGGTGAAAGCAAAGCAACTGGTCAGAATTGTACTTGACAACATTCAACTAAACTTTATTATCACTGCTATTCATGCCTATTGTAACCTTTCACCAATAATGAAAAACTGAAAAATATACAAAATACTTTCATAATGCCATCACTCTGAGCAAGACTCTAGACAAGAAGCTATGCACTGGTAGGAATTAAATATGATTTATAACAGCCAACAGGAAACCATTCCTTTATTAGCATTTAAACCCAATATTGCTACAGCCTTAGTGGTTGTGTGTTGGCAACATTGACAGGCGAATAATATTCAGTCTATATTATACCCAGACTAGAGTGGAGATTCGTAGCACAAAGGCTAGAAGATATTTTATGATTTTTATATTACAAATCAGAAAAACGTATATGGGAATTGTGATTTACAACTACGACATTGCAAGCTAGACAAATGATACGTATCACCATTATTCACCAAAGCTGAAAATGCAAAGACAAAGAAAAGAAACATGCAAATAATTTTACTTGTCGCACAATTACAAAATCATCGTCATCATCACTTTCAAAATCATCATCAAGATATCTGTTTTTACGTCGTCCATCTCCACGATTTCTGTTCCTTCTTCCATTAACTCCCTCCTGAAATCGAAGCATCCATGAAAAATAATAACATTGAAAAAAAGGGCTCTTAGAACAGAACAAACTAAAACGCATACTAAGGTACTTTAATTTGTAGGCTCATTCTTTGGCGCTCCAGAAGTGTATGCAGCAATATGGAGGTAACTAATTTTGTTCGCCTACTCTACATCAAGTTGTATAAAGGGTCTGAAACCAATACAGACAGTCCCCGAACTTGTAATAAAACTAAAATTTTCTCAGTTCAACCGGAAAGTTGGAGGAAAAACTGAATAAAATTATGGCCTAACCTTAATTTGCCCGGTACATATACTACGGGAGTGCCCATTCTTTTTGTGAGAGTAATTAAGTTTACATTGTATAAGTATCTAAGTTTATCGTCCAATATACCGGGGAAAAACAATGGAATATTGGGTCCTATGGGACTCCAAATTGAAACAAAACAACAGAGTAGAAGTAATAGCTTCCCAGCTACTTCTTCCATTTTCAAATACCTAGTTCAAATTTGAAATTGATTGGAATCTGACAACACTAATTATGCAAAATGATCGCTAGCATTCTATGGAATCCAAACAAGCTATTTTTGTACATGAAGCAATTAAGCATACTTCACCTGTTCAATAGTTTCCATATCTGCTGAATGCGAGATTCCTCTGTTGCCAGAAAATCCCATTCCCAATCTATCTGACATTTCTTTCTTATGTTCTGGCACTACAGTTTTGGATTTTGTACCCCCGTTCTGATATGTCAACATACTTGAAAGCCTAAAGCAAATATCAATGATAATAACATCAAAACAGGCAGGGGTTCCAAACTACGACCCACGAGCCCTCGGGAGTGTTTCATGCGGCCCACTTGTGTCTGCTGATATTACTTGAGCATTTATGGATATAAAGTTCCGTTGAAAATAGCGATAAAAGAACATCATAAATATTATTGTATGTTACTTATTAATATACAAATGTTAGCCTAGTTGTTGAACTGGCTTTTGTAAATATAATGTTTTTTATTCGAAGCTTTTCATATTGAGTTTTGAGCCTCTGGCCCAATAACACAGTTTATTATCTATAACTGGCCTACCCCCCCCCCCTGAATTTACTAATATTGTTTATTTATTTGAGATTATTGTAATAGCCTATATAACAACAAATGGGAAAAAGAGATCTAAAACGTGCATAGAGAGTAATGTACGAAAAGCTGGGAACAGCTAAACTAAAAAACAAAGAAATGACAATTTTTACACTACTATTGTATTTCCATGAATACCATTGAATATTACAAAATAATAAAATCTAAATGGACTATATAGGAAAAGAGCAACAAACGTATAAAAGTACTTGTGTTCTCTGCTTTGAGGTACAAAGTCCATTTCACACGATAGAATAAATATTAGACATTTTGAAATAGCGAGTACATGTTCTTTAATATGAAATTATGATTGATAAAGTTGTTAACAATAAATGAAATATAGTTGGTTACTCAAATCTATACCCCATGAGATCAAAAAAGCACGATGGTAGACTAGTAGTACATAGAAAAACCTTGTTATACTAAGGTATTTGCTTTTTTCTGTAAGGAAACTGGTTCAGTGAAATGTGCATAAAATTAATCAATGTCAATATAGTCTAACAGGGTTTCCCAAACTTTTTGAGCCGCGGGCCCCAGTTTGTAAATCTAATGTTTCCTTTGCAAAATAAAACTCATGAAATTCTGAATCAATACATACTAACGTTGAATACTGGCAGGCTAATGGCAATTCGATAAGATTATAATCTATTTGTATATGTTTCAGACTCTTTTTATATTGTTGCGGACCCCCTGTGCAGTCATCACGGATCCAAGTTTGAGAAACCCTGATCTACAGATACCAACATGATAATTGGAGAAATGTTATTCGACAAAATATTTATTAGCACTAAAAATTATTTCTATTGTTATCAGTTATCAGACTGGACTCACTCTTGCTTTTGTTGTGGTCTTGGTTTGGGTTGAGCAGCAGCCAATCTCTCACTTTCCTTAGCAGAATCTTCTAAGTTTTTAAAATCAGTTTTTACTTTTTGAGCTCCAATGCTTCCTCTTTTTGCACCTAGTCCAGCTAATGATGAAAAAAACAATAGGAAAACTTGAAATGTACATCTAAATTCGCCTAATAACCTCCTTTATTAACACCAAAATTGTTTCAAAAATTAAAAGTTTGGATCTTATTCAGAGTTACTAAAACTCATAATACTAAATGGTTTACAAATATAACATATGAAAAAAGCGGAAGTGTTATTAATAACAGAAACTACTAACAAAAACAATTACCTTTTTTCTTCTTTGTCACAATGATTGAAGATTTTCCTGTCGACTGGTTTGATGCCGGTGAAGATAAAAATACTACGCTTGGTCCTTGACTGGATTGGGGTGATTGTGACGAAGTGGTGTTCTGTTTAATAATAGACGGCGTACTTTTTGAAACAGGCGTTTCGTCATCCATAACTGGCCAATCATCATCAACATTATCAGTTTTATCGACGGTATCCAGTTTAGAGATTTTTTCAGTAGTCCTATCCGTAACTAAATCATTTAGTGCCGCGTCTAATAATTTTGTGTTGGATTTTGAATCCACGGGCTGCTTTGAACCGCCATATGCTTTAAAAAACTCCTCTTCTCTTGATTTGGCACTTTCTTGTGAAGCTTTTTTCTTTTCATTTGCGAGTGATGAACTTAAAGATGCACCTGAAGGAATTTCGCTACCTCCCGTACTCCAATGACTCAAAGCTGCATGGACACTCGGACCTGTGATTACAAAAATTATTGAAAGTGTTTGCTGATAATTACACCGATGAGCAAAATAAAACCTCGGTCAGAAATCAGAATTTAATTACAAATTTCCTCATGAGAACGAAATGCAGTAAACTCATACATCCAAAGATGATAAACAGTTGGGAAGGGTTTGAGAGAAACAATTAACTTGTATAACCAGAAACTAATTCCTTCCCCCACAAATATGGAAAACTGGTGTAGTCCGAATAAAAAATCTACTTCTGATACTAATATTCTGCAGATAATTTTATTTGGCCCATTATTTTGGTATACAAACTATACTATATTCAAACTATATCTATTCAGAACTAACTTCGTGACTGGAATCTACTATTTAAACTATATATATATTCAGAGAATTGTCATAGTAAAAGTAAGCTATGTCATTATATTTCAATATACTGTTGTCAGAGTACAAGAAAAGCAGTAATTCAACTCAATATTTTTAGGTATGGTCTTTATTTACCTGAGATACTGACATCTTGCTTTGAACCATTAGATAATTGAGGTTTCTTCTCTTCAACTTTGGGTGATACTTTCATAGCATCAAAACTTCCAAAAAAATCTTTTTCTTTTTCAGATTTTGGCGTGAATTCAACATCTGAATGGATGAGTACAAATTAAATACTCGAACAATACAATCATAAATGCACCGTATTACAAGGGTTTTGATTCATACACGAAGCACACCGGACTATAGCATGCAACAGTTTTTAATGCGATACCCTACTGGTTTGGGGTGTCGACAATGAAGCATAGAGCACTACCTGACATACCATACATTAGACGCACCAGCTTATAAGACGCACAATCAATTTTTGAGACAAAAAAGGATTTAATGTATGCCTTATGGTCCATAATATATGAAACTAGTGACATGGCTTGTAAAGATTAAAATCTTGGTAGACAATCCAGCCAATGGCTGTAACTTTAATTCATTAATATGCTTGACAAAGGCAATTTCTAAGTCTATGATGCTATCAAATCATAAAATTACTTTTTAAATTTCATTTCCATGTGTCACATTGTGAATATTCCTATCATAAGCATAACCTACTGTAAGCAGTAAACCAAAAAACATTGTATATAAATCTAAAAATGTAATTTTCATAGTGAATTGAATTATAATTATTAGAACATTAACAAATTCGATTATCAAAACTTTACTGCAATTTAAACGAAACATATTTTCCATATCAATATTTATTTGATTTTTTTCAATAACAAATTCACAATTACTGATAGAGAGTTCCAGATTAAAATGCTGTATTAACAAATCTAAAACACAACAACATAAAAGTGAATCCAAACTAATGCTTCATCTTCAGTTGTTATGTCATTCTTAGCCAGAATAGGTAGTGCGGAAAAAATGAGATTTAATTAACCAAACAAAAAAATATAATATTCCATAACTGGTCATTTGCCACTTTTAATAGATAGATACCTATTTCAGAGTTTGCAAGACTTATCATAGCTGGCGACGAAGAGACATGTTTCAAACCATCATTGACTCTGGGAAGTTGGGGCGAATGCCGAACATTTAAAGCCGCACTGCTGAGGGAAGCACCACTATATTTGGCAAAAAAATCATCTTCTGCTTGTGAACTTGACACCGTTGGTTCAGCAGTAGAACTTTGTGTTGGAATATGAATCATCTGAAATATAAAGAACTCTTAAAAGTGCTTCTTTCTACATTAGTAGTCAATGCATAGGGATGATTGGATATTATGGATTACTTTAAGAGGGGGATTGAGCAAAAATCAGTTCAGAAGTTGAAGAGTCAGACAAGATTTTAATATGAAAAATCTTTCATAGAAATTTCATTGAAAGGGGACGCAACTCACACAAGCCATAATCATGAACATTCTTAATCCCAAGTATGCATCTACGGTTTAATGTGTTCAAATATTATAATTAGTAAAAAAAATATATTCTCACACACAGTTCTGTTGCAGACACTTACAGAATTTCCATATTTTTTCATTGCCTCTACAGTAAGACCCTTCAGTTTACTTCTGTATAAAACGGCCGCACGACTGTTATATTTCGCATGTTTGTCATTACTTGAACAACCATGCGAACGGAAAAATGCTCTGGCACTTGCGTTTCCACCAACTTGCATACTTCGCAATTGTTCCCATGTCCATTTCTGATCCAATTCTATAGATCTATTCAAGAAATATTTCAACATAGAAATAAAACAGTAGGCAATATATATGAAAAGCAGGGTTGTAACCAGGGGGGAGGAGGGGGGGAAAGTTGAGGGTTGAAACTAATACAGTCTAACTTGGCAAATTAGAATTTATAGCTATATAATCCTTTAAAAATTTTTGGATATACCCCCCAATGAGAAGCAACAAATTCTGGATACAGCTATTTATGGGATAGCCTATGAAACAAACCAAATGTCATTTTGGCAGTTGAGCTATACAATATCATCCATAATTAAATTGAAAACATATTTGAATAATTCAAATAATTAACAAAAGTTTAGTTATCTCTATTGAATAAAAACTGAGATTCAGAAACCCATTTTAAAGTTGAACTCAACCTATAGGCCTAGTTACTTTTAACTGCTATAAACAGACTATGAATCTGACTATGAAATGCTATGATTCAACAATATCATATTCATAGCCATGAAATTTGACAAAAATACATTATTTCAGAATCCAGGAAAGAAACAGTAAAATTGAGTAATGATGTCACTTAAGACAAACTATCTTTGGCTTTGTAGTTAACAAGTTACGAGCACTGTTAACTGAACAAATGATTGTAGTCCAGAAACGTTGCCAAAATCTAATGTATACAATATAATACAGGATAAAAAATTAATAACAATGATTTATTCCAAAAATTCTTGTTAACAAGGGTAGACTATAAGACATATTGTACCTTATAAAAGTTAAATGAACGCCAAGAGATCTGTGAGTTCCTGAACAGTCAATACAAAGATATACTCCATATGTTATGCTGGCCCATGTAGGATTCTTGGCTCCACAATCGAAGCATGTCTAAAAAGTTCAGTTAAATGCAAATATAAATGAATAAATATGTAAATCCTATCCCATTCTAAATGCCGAAATGTTATATAGCTTATGCCAGTATAGGATATAGAACAGTTATAGCAATAGTGTTATCAAAAGTATTTAAACGAAAATTACAGATTGGCATACGGGTAACAGAACAGTTACCATACTGCCATAAGCTGTAAAGTCTGAAGGTACATACTGCTGTACTGGTACTGAAATACAAAAAAAGCTATAGAATAGATTCTGATATCGGTAAATAACAAAATATAGGTTATATTCTTGAAGTCCTCAGTCAGTCGGTCACATCATCCAATGACAGAATACTGGAATACAGAAACCAGATATCGGTATTGCGGTATTGGCAATTGTTTTCAAAACAAGCTGTTACACAGTTACAGCAGTCTGGCAGTACGGTACCTATAGTGTTACAGGTGTTAATACTGTGTTAAGAGACTATACAAACCTTATTTGCGGGAATCGATTTCTGTTTCTTGAAAATTGCTTTGATGTCATTGAAGGGAGCTTCCATTTTAATAGTTGAGTACTTTCAAACTCTTCAAAGCGCCCAAAGGAAAACGAGATCCCAGAGCACTGTAGCAGAAAATCACAACACTATCCAGCTGTTACAGGTACCGGTACCGGTACGAAGTACGGTAACCTTCAGACCTTTCTGCCTTTGGGCTAATCCTTCGAAATTCAGAAGTTACAGCAGTACAGAGTTATCGTACCAGGTTACGGGTACCGTAACCGTACTGTGTATTTTGCTTCAGTCGGTACAGTATTCAGGTACGGTATTACAAAGTTGGTAAGTTACACACAAGGTAGGCTACACTATAACATAAGCAATAACAGAACTAAAGTTTCCTGATTAACTATAGTTTTCAATATAAGTAATAAGATACAACCAAAGTAAGCGACAATAAAAAAAATTAGAAGGGCAGAAAAGCGTCAAACGGAAATGTGGAATACGGGGACAGCGAAGCACGCTCACGAAACAAGCTGAGACGATGACGTGACCATACTTATTGATGCGTAGCACAACAGGCCCAGCTGATTGATGACCTCGTTATTATCTTAAGTCCAGAGTCTGCACACAGCTGACACCAACAATGCAAATCTGGGACAGGACAAGAATTTTTTATCATCTCGCCGTGAGCCATAATCAAATCACACAAAACCCTCAAAGCATTTGTAGTGAATCACTGAGCGAAAGGCAATTTTGGTACAAACCAGTATATAACTGACACAAGACAGCGGTAGTTGTGTTGCATGGTGAGAAATTCGCTGACAGAAAACTAAAATCAGCACATTTCTCCCTGCACAAATGTTTCCGTCCAGTTCTGTAGCAATGACTAATCCGTGTTCCGTAAGTATAAGTTTATTTTGATTTCATAATCAGCGTAATATACAATAAATAATTATTAAAAATAAACATTTTAACCAAATTTTGTAAGGGTTGCAATATCGAATTAAAAAAGAAGTGATTCGTAAAGAAGAATATTCATCAAAATATACTGCCTAAGTCATTATTGTTGAAGTCTGTGATGCCAAGTTTCTCAGCCAGAAGCAACGACTAACGGCCAGAAGTAACAATCAAAATTTCGCTAGATACCCTCTCCATCAGGCCAGTACTCACGCGTGCTTTCCATCTTTGTTGTTTTATTTTTACTCTTTTTTTCACTGTTATAATGTGTTTGTGTCGTAGAAATGTACCTTTCCCCGAGCATCGACTTCCTTGTTTACTTCGTGACATTGGCCAATCAGCAAGATACAAAAAGTGACGTAACAATGCTCCCTTTTCGCATCCGCTCAGACATTTTTCTCAATCATACAGATTTTCAAGCGTGTCGTGAACCATTACCTCGTTTTCGAGCTCTATTCGTTAGTTTTCAGTTGTGTTTGGAAACTTAAAATATAAATCAGATAATTCAATGATCACTCTGTCTTCCTAGGAGTTTTAATTTAATTGCAAACAATAAAAAATTTGTGTAGAAATAGCTGTGACAGAGTCGGCTAAGAATTCTTTACCGGTACATTTAAAAAACAGATTGTTGTATGCGATGAATCATGATGATGGTTTAAAACACATAGCCCATTTTACAGGCGTCAACTCACAAAAGCCCTCTTAGAATAGCCCCGAAATTCTACAATGGTAAAGTATAGGAAAAATATTCCGGGGGTCAAAGGTCGGGGGAAGGTCCATTACATCAGGGTGCACAACACGGGGCACGCGTGCCAAATTTGACACGCCAAACGCTCAAACGTGGCACGCGAACGATTTTGTAAAAAAGAAATATTTATGATATACATCAAAATATTACGTTTATATCAAAATCAGCAGTTTTTTAGAACTTTAAATTGTTTCAATAAAAAGATATCCGTTATTATTATGTATTATTATTAAAATTTGTTTGTTTTGCGGGAGTTAGTTTACAATATCACAACTGTGCGCGGCACGCGACAAGATTATTTTGAAAAATTTGGCAAGTATCCTCATTTGAGTTGTGTACTCCTGCATTACATGACATGTTTCTGCATTCTCTTTACGGAAGCTCAACCAATAGGTGGTGCTAACACGTTGTCTCGCAGCAAAGCCTTTATATCATAGTTAACTGGATATAGTTTTCTCACGGACGGTTCGCTACGCATGAGTGATGCGTTACTACGTCATCAGTTTGCTATATTTTGAAGCTTATGATAGAGGATTTTCTTTTGAATTTATTCCCGTATTTGGAATGGCTTTGTTGGTTGAAATAACTGAAAAGATATACGAGGCATTAGGATAAAGCATGGGATCGTGGCATCAACCAGTCATCTCTGCGTCGGTACCATAAGTTATCAAAGTGGATAAGGGGCTGAGTAATTCTGCTGTTCTGTAATTGCATTTATTGGATAGCATTAAAGGTTTATACCAGGATTAAAGCACAATAGTAACAATTCAGATACTCCCATGTAGGCCGATCCCTGGGATTGGGTTTCCACCTCTTCGACGCCATGCGTCAAGTTTTGTATTTCGGATTTCTAATTTATTATTCAATGACGATCTTTTTTCTCTCGCGACGAAATTCGCAAAAACGTTTGCGCCAGACAAAACAACTTTCGTAATCCCGCCTTGGATATTCAAAACGCGAAGAGGGAGGGCCTTGTTGCACCATTTTCGCGTTTTACAATTTTACTATGTAGTTCGCTTATAATATTAATTATTGTTAGTGCCGATTACCATCTTACAAGCTATTTTCCGATTGCAACAAATTTAATTTTTTGAAATAGTGAAACATTCTTTATTTTAAATTAAATGACTTTTCGAGTTCTCCCGGAAAATGTTGAGTACCCTACGTTAGATGATATTACGTTCTTAGCGATTATTTCAGATCAAATTTTACTTTTCACGACAACCGGTTTACGAAAATACAAAGTTATACCGCAAAACCATGCGTTTTGTTTATCTTTATTTTAAGCTCCCAATAATACATATATCTTGGATATCGAGATGCCAATGAATCCGTTCCTATCGCCCAAGCGCGACACACGCCTGGTATTTTAGTCGACGATAAATTAAAGAAGTCGCCACGCGTGTTATGAATAACGATGATAACTGGAAATTAAAATTTGGTAACAGAAATGAATTAGTCTCGAGTTGTTATTTTTGGAGTTTTACTCGCAGAAGCAATCGATTTCTGTCAAAGGCACAAAACTTTTCTGTCGAAGGCACAAAACATTCAAACAAAATATAACGCAATCATATCATTCTGACAACCTACATCCAGTGGTGGGACTCAAATTTTTTTCAGCCGGTTCCAATACACAAATGTCATATTTTTTTGCCGGTTCTGTTACAAAAAGTCATGTTTTTTAAGTAATGCCAGCCGGTTCGCTGATCCCACAAAATTCCGTGAGACGGTTCTATAGAACCGGAGCGAATCAGCTGAATCCCACTACTGCCTACATCTCCATTAGACATCGACTACAGTCAGATAGCTGAGGGGTACACGCGCCACAATATCGCGTTGAGAGAACACCATAACGCATCAACGAGATAACTGTGTAACATAAATAAAGAAAGACAAAAAAGCGTGAGCGAACTATATTCAGTTAACTATGTTTATATACCTGTCTCGCAAAATCGGGTAACGACCACTCGTGCTTTTGCGAGTTGTTTCAAACCATCATTCTGATTCATTGCATTCAACAGTCTGTTTTTTAAAAACACCGGTAAAGAATTTTAGCCCAGTCTATCACAGCTAATTCTCCACTAATATTTGCAATATTTAACTGGTATTTTTGGTGAACGAGCACGTGCATTATACGTTATAAACTTTATCCTTGAGTTTTGCTCGTTTTCCAGGCATTTCTGTAATATGATTTGTTTTTTTTATCCGAATTTTGAGTTTTTAGAATGCCTAGTATAATAAATATATATATTTTAAATCACTTTTTGTTAAATAGTTGCAAGATATCTGGGTCAGAAATTACTAATTTATCACTGCTTTCTACGAATTGCTATCATAAATTAAAACTTTGTGAGCGCTGAGGGAATATCACTTGGGCCGTTTAAAGCTAAAGATTTCGGATCAAACCCAGTTTTTTACAACCTCGACCAAGATAGCCTACATTAAATTAGGCCGAAAATATTTCTTTTTCATCTTGTATCTCATAACGTGTCAGTGTCGGATTACTTAGAGCCTTGTTTGAAGTTTGGGTGTTAATTAAACTCAAACAAACTGACTGGCTGTCCCCATACATCTCGCTCACATGCGACCTCGCCATTGTTCAAAAATTCTATTTGTCAGTTTTACATTTGTCACAATAAAATCTTATTCAACTCTAATTTTGAACTCTATTAATGAGTGACTCGGTACTACATGTATACTTTAGCGATCTTATCGCTACTCCTTCACCCCACCCCTACTCCTTCACCCCTAGAAAATTATTTAATCCTGTTTATATCTGTACTGTCAGCCTGAAATCATTGTGGAAATGTATTCAAAACATATATATGATACATGCTATTTCAATAAACATTAATATTTTTTGTCTGACCATTTTCATGTGTGCGAACGGTTATACCAAGTTTGAAATGTTCGAGAGTAGCTTTTTGAAATAAATAACGTTTCTTAGCTCCAACATTGAAGAATTTTGATTGCTATCAATCAATGCATGTGCCATTTTGTGCAATACCTAGACTAAGTATGGACTAATTTGATTTGTCCAATGAAAATCGATTCAGGAAACTGAAACACATCGCTATGACTAGCTGTTTCAAACTTAGCATACATTGTTCTAGATTTATAAGTCGGATGAAGATTTGTTTTGAACAAGAATGTTTACAATGACTTATGACGTTATAATTATTTTAAACAAAAACATATTACGTGACAAAATGAGACATTTGCCCAAAACAAGTTTGCTGCACCAAATGATTGTCATAAAAATATCAAAGATTTTATTCACTGCATTTTGATAAACTCAATTCCAATCATAAAAATAAAGAATCATACCATTGAGCTATTACTAATTGTAACTAATCAAAGCAAAATAATAAACGCGTGCTAATGTGCAAATGATAATTTAAATAATACTGATGATGCAATATATTTGTTTATTTTTGTTTGACTGATTGAAAACTTTTAAAACAACCAGGAGGCAGACTCCAACCAAACGTCGACTCTGTCATTGGTGCTTATGGTATACAAAACTTTCTTACGGATCAACCTTGATACTACGAACAATGAATATTAGAAGGATTCGGTTCGTCATAAATATCATCATCTCGATCATCGTACATGTCGTTCACATTCGTCATTTCTAGAGTGTAAGCATTTGTACCAACGCCAAAGTTACAGACTCCAAATAGATTTGAAATTAATAGGAAAACGAGATATAACACGAAAACAAGGTAGCATATGGCTATTATTGCAGCAAAAATGTACCAAGCAATGTGGGGAAGTTGCCCAATATACACGACGACGAAAAATATGTTTATTCCAATAACTGTAAGTGAAAGTAGGGTGCCGATTGTGAACCAGATCCAAGAATTTTTATAATCTTTCATGACATCCGAAGATGTGGTAAAATGTAGTAATGGGATGAGTGCAAAGGGTAACTGAAGACTTTGAAGTACATTCAGCAAGTCATTTAGTCCGGTTAAACTGTATACATCGGTGAAAATAGCCATGAGAAGTGTAGGGCCAATAGCAATTGATCTTGTGAGAAGAATTCGTTTGAACCTTGACCATTTGAGATCCAAGAATCCTTCCATGACAAACTGGCCAGAATATGTTCCAGTCATCGTTGAACTCTGACCTGCGGCAAGAATTCCAATTGCCCAAATGTAATACGCAACGGGACCAAAGTAACAACCTAAAATTATACCGCCTTTGAATAGGTCGGTGTGCGCTGTTTGATTTGCCGTGGTTTCGTCGAAGCTAAAAGCACCAGCGCTGTTTGGGATGGTCGTGTTTGCACATTTGGCATTCAGTTCCGCATTTGTAACGCCGTAAAATGATTCAGCAAAAACTGCAACCACAAACAAATTTATTGTAAATGAAATAGTCAACGCGATAGCAGCTTCGATTAGATAGTAGAAGTTTGCTTCTCTGACCATTCGCGGTTTGGTTCTGTCGATGTCTCTAGATTTGACTAAGGCAGAGTGCAGATAAATGTTGTGAGGCATAATAACCGCGCCGATAATACCGACAGCTTGAAGTAGTTGCTGAGAACCGCAATTTTTACACACTGGTGAAAACAGGCCTTCCACTACTTCCGACTGATCGGGAGCAACAACTACGTACTCGTATCCGAATGTAAGGGCCATAGTTGTGATAAGAACTCCGAACAATGCCTCCAATTTACGCAAACCGTATTTATCCAACGTAAGAAAGATGAACACGTCACTTGCTGTGATCAATACTCCAGCCCATAGTGGTATAGCACCGCCTGAAAGCAAGACAAATGCGATTGCACTTCCTATTACTTCCTGCATGTCAGATCCGATAATGGCAATTTCAACCATGATCCACAAAAATATCCGCGGAATTTTCTTGTATTTTCTGTTGCAAACTTCTGCTAAGTTCAGTCCCGTGACGACGCCCAATCGCGTAGCAAGGCGTTGCATCATCCAACCCATTATAGTTGCAACAAATAACACGAATAGCAACTGAAATCCGGCAAGAGATGCAGAACGCAGATCTGACTCAATGTTACCTGGGTCCAGGTACGCAATACTCATAAGGAAACCAGGCCCTGTAAAAGCCCATAATCTTTTCCAGCTAAAAGGGGGCATATCAATTTGATAGCAGCTCGGCCCACATTTTTCGTCGCTTTCGTTTTCGTCCCGTGGGACAGAAATGGTGTTCACAAAATAAGTAGTGAAGTTGCTAGTTTCGCCTGTTGATGGGCCAGATGAATAATAGTCATTTTCTTCAGGTTCAGGGGTAGGTGATTTTGGCTTACTTATCATTCGACCCTCCGGCCTACCTCCGGTAATATCAATTTCACTCATATCTCTAGTGCCAAACATCTGAAAAAAAAATTAAAATTCAATTATTGCAGCATAAGTTATATCTTCAAAATTTTAAATAAAAAATCAAATAAATTTATTTATCTTTACAGCGCTGGCGTAACCGAAATATCAGGCATGATAAATCGTCAATAAAGTATCAAAATCTACTAAAAGAGACACACTCCCGTGATCAATCTCCAACATTATATTTTCTCGACCGCACATTTCTACATCGAGCGCAACTAGTTAGATTATTTCCTGAAACGGTTTATAATCGAACCGTGTTGAAATTCTGGCTTCAAATGACGGGTGTAAAATTTATAGGGAGTCCTCGGGTTACGACGGTCGCGACTCTCGCTGTTCCGAGGTTACGAACGCGCACTCAATAACGCTGTTTCAAGGTTACGAACGCACTCCATAAAAAATATAAAAGATAATACTGTACTGCAGGGGTGGCCAACCTGCATTCCACCGCGATCGACTAAAATATTCAAAATAGTTCGCGATCGACTGATCTGTAATAAGGTCATACGCATGGAAAAATATGAGTACTCCCAGAAAAGGTGCATGTAATATGTTAATTTGATTATGTAATTCTAATCGAAGTAAATTTTCATAACTTATTTAAGATTTATTCATATGTAAATCCTATCCCGAGGCCCACCTAATTTTTCGTCGTAAGTGTTGAAAATTCATTTAAAACCCCCACCAAGTATGCCTAGACAGCGAGAAATAAATATCCTCTAACCCTCAATGCTACATGACTGCTCGAACTTCAGTATCTAACGTACAATTCCAACCATGTCTGATTCTTCGCTCGCTTGGAATTAAGAAAAATGTTCATTCTGATGCTACTGTTGCGTATACAACTTCAATGTTACAATGTTACGTATCACACTTACTCTTGGAGCGAGACAATAACTTTCGCATACTGCAGAAGTTATTATAGGATCGTTTCTCAGTCGAAACACACGATAATCGGCAAGTTCATTTCTAAACCCTGGCAGCGGCAAAACTTGCGTTTGTTTCATAATAATATGGTTTATCAGACATGCCAAGACTCAAATACTGAATATGCAGTCACCGAAGTGTATATATATCATATTTTGCGCGTGTACAGTACTTTATCCGTCCTGTTTTAAAATACACAACAGGCGCTGCATGAAACTGGTTCAGAATATTTTTTTGGGGTATGTTATTAAATTCACTCAGCATCAGAGTCGCGATCGAATATTCGAGACGTGGCGATCGACGTGTTGGCCACCCCTGCTGTACTGTACAGTATTTGCTTTTATTCATGTGATATGGAATTGTTTTCAATTTTTTTTTGCATCATTTGTACATTTTATTACAGTACCATACTTTACAATACAGTACGATATGAATAGAGTAATTTAGGTAAGGTACTAAGTATAATGTTCCGACTTACACTGAAATTCGGGTTACACCGCTAGTTTTTCTCGAGAACGGAACAACGTTGTAAGTCGAGGACTCACTGTACATATTTCATTGGAATTTTCAATTTATAATTCAAGAGTGAGTGATATAAAATTGGGTCAGAAAAGAACGAAACTTTTATGATGTTGGATGCCAGTTTTAAAACATCTTCTCAATTCGTGCTTTTCCTTTTTGTCAAGCTGCCGGGTACAAGGCTGTTTGTTATATCTATCCAGGGCTGAGTTTTAAGTGCTTCCTTTGCAAAAATACAGATACACGTTGATAAATCCTGACAATTGCACGAATAACGTAAAAATAAAGAAGCTGGCATGACTCAAATTAAGTAACATTTTAATAACTGTTCGTTGTTTATTTTTAAGATCGCTAATTACTACTAATTGTCAATCTTTATGGACACATAATACGTTCAGCCTTTTTCTGACAATCTCAAATATGAGCGACATGCAGAAATATGGCTAAAATTGCGAAGCAAATATGCGTGTTGTAGAGTCATGAATAACAACCTGACGAATGCTTGGTATCGTTTATTAGCTGTATGACTTCTTTGATTGTCGATAATGCTTGCATCTCTGTGCGGAAAAATTCAAACCATTTCGCATACTTGTTGTTTCATATGGAAGAATTCTAGTTATTCGAGTATCATTGCATGATATCAAGAATTACTGCATTTGATTAGAGCACAAATAAGTCTGAACTACTTTATCCCGACAGAAAGAAAATTTCTATTACTTATGCTACTCAAGTAATATATACTATACTGTGTTTTTGTTAGCGAAGACGGTAATGCTGCTCTGCGGTATTTTGGGGACGAGACATTTTTGATTCTTCGTTAAACGTTTTGATAACTGGTTCATACCGCACATCTGAAAGTTATGCTTGTGGTATTCGTGCGGGGCGTCAGCGAGCGTGACTTTTGATTTTGACTTTTAAATAATTAAGTATCTTGGTTAACCAAACGTGTCTCATCAAAGATCTAATATTGATAATTTAACCTTTTAATTCAAAACAAATGTTGGGGTAATAAACAGAAATACTTATAATTGGGCACGCTTTAGCATATGTAATAGTCGTCGTTAAGTGTACGTCTGTCCAATTTGCAATGTAAATTTAGTCGCACATTGTGAGAGGCTATACATAATCGACACACAATAAAAACATTTTCGTTAATATATTTTAGCAAAGATTGTAAATATTTCGTTTTGTTCGTTTCATATTCATTTAATAGGGTAATAGGAACATGCTATTATTCCTGGATATGATTCATAACTCCATTTGGATATTTAGAATAATGAACGCTTAAGGTCTGCAAGAGGCCGTCTTATAACGAATAGCCAATCAATTGATCATTTGTTTGACAGTGGGAGGAATAGATTTATGTGACAGAATTCGCGAAAAATATAGTGGGTATTGATAGAAAGACGCCTACAACACCGAGTCAGGTTGATCACCACAAAAAGTAGGTAACTAAATAAATGTCAACTTTATTATCAACTTGCAATATAGTCGTGATTGGTGCAGGGCGTATGATATCTTAGTTTCACGAAGTATTTTGCGTGACCCCGTTACACAAGTAGTCGTTTTAATCAATTTAAACAACTTGTCATTTTGATTGAATGCAGGCTACTCTAAAATGATATTTACGCGTCGCAGCTAATACGTGCAGCAAATATGACATTTGAGAAGTTCATATAATTTAGTTTGAGATCAATTCATTGAAATACAACATCTGAGAGTTGGTAATGACAAGAAATTGTATCCGACTATGTGTTTCGGACGTGGCCTACTAGCAAAAACGGAGACGTAAGAAATTTATTTTATGCAGCTTAATGATATGGGCTTAACATTTCATGTCCTTCATAGTTGTGCATCGAAGGGGTATTGGATACGAAATGTACATATGGATCGTTTTGCTATTATGATGTGTTCTTCTCCATTTCCATGTTATATACTTTTTTATCATATAAAAAAAATTGCTAGAAGGCTATTACTTTTATATATTCTAAAAATGTATGTGGGTTCTAATGGGATTCGTTTTTTTGTGCGTGATGACGTCATCAAAATCAAACGTTTTTACCCGTACTACCTTGTTTTGGCCTTTGTGTACATATATTTGAGCATCGTTCACTTGTTCTTACGGTCACATTATCTTTGATCCAACGTACATTTGCACCCAGGACAATTGCACCAGCATTTTCGCACCCACGGACATTTTAACCCATGAACAATTGAACCCATACATTTGTGGGTGCAAATGTACATGGGTGCAAATGTCTGTAAGTGCAAATGTTCATAGGTGCAAATGTACATGGGTGCAAATGTTCACGTGTACAAATGTCCATGTGTTCAAATGTCCGCGGGTGCAAATGTCAGTGGGGGCAAAAGTATGCAGGTGCAAATGTCATGTGTGCAATTTACGGGTGCAAATGTGCTGTCACCGTTATTACAGCCCCCATATATCTCAAGAGTGCGTATGTCCATTTGACTATCATTTTACAGTTTTGGAAACTTATTTGGATTTTGGTCCTGTGTTATCTATCTAACATTTACTTTTAGAATTCAAAACTAGCGATAAAAGTCTAGTAGAAATATCCGGAACTTGATGTCTGTATTTTTACAGATTTTAGAAAATATTCTAAATACAACTATGCTCTTTTCTAGCGAATGGGAATACGTCATTTGTTGATTAAATTTAGACCACTTAGTCTATGTTACCTTATTCAGTGGTTTGTCAAGATATACTTTTGCAGTGCAACAATCCTAGCATTAGCGTAAACCTTCACTAGTTTCTCGAATGTCGATGTTGGTCATAATGGTTGTGTTGCATCTTCGCTATTGATCTGATTTGTGCATGTTGGCGTGTGTCAAATGCCTGACTTATACTTGTTTGAATGAAAACTCGGTCTACGTTCAAAGTGAGCATTGTGTGTGGTTCGTCATTGGCAAAAATTCTACCACGTTGTCGAGTTTTTTCAACTGGCAGAATGGTGAAAAATCTTATTTATACGTTTTTAAAAGCCTCGCAGAGATGGTATATATATGACAAAGCAAAGCACCAAATAGGCAATTACCGAGGTCCTGGAGTTTCAATGTTCTTTCGGTATGATATTTGTGTAGTACATTAAATCTAATTGTATTTTATTCGATTTAATCTGTAATTTCTGGGATGGCGATCCGGGGACTGATACAATGTCCTTGTATTCAACTGTTCACGTTTATCAACGTTGTATTGATATTGAATGTTTTGATACCACACACACTTGAAAAATTTATTCATGTTGTTGAATTTGTCCATCTTAAAATATGGTGTAGGTACAACAACACAGCATCAAACAGCTAATAATCCAGAGAGTTTCGAATCTCATTTGACCTGGCCTACTTTGAAATGTATAGCAAATCTTTACTACGTAGACTTATAATAGCAAATATTCGCATACAAAGTTTCTGTGGAGTCAGTGCTAGACATGCTGGTTGCCGTAAAATAACGATCAAAACTTTGAACTGAATGAAGCAGGGCAGTGATGAGCTGAA